GAGGGAAAAAGAGTGAGTGGTGCACTTAGGAGTCTGTGGAGACAAAGAACTTTGTCCTTGGAGGCAAAGAGGGGAATGTATGAGAGTATAGTTTTACCAACGCTCTTATATGGTGTGAAGCGTGGGTGATGAATGTTGCAGCGAGGAGAAAGGCTGGAGGCAGTGGAGATGTCATGCCTGAGGGCAATGTGTGGTGTGAAATATAATGCAGAGAATTCGTAGTTTGGAAGTTAGGAGGAGGTGCGGGATTACCAAAACTGTTGTCCAGAGGGCTGAGGAAGGGTTGTTGAGGTGGTTCGGACATGTAGAGAGAATGGAGCGAAACAGAATGACTTCAAGAGTGTATCAGTCTGTAGTGGAAGGAAGGCGGGGTAGGGGTCGGCCTAGGAAGGGTTGGAGGGAGGGGGTAAAGGAGGTTTTGTGTGCGAGGGGCTTGGACTTCCAGCAGGCATGTGTGAGCGTGTTTGATAGGAGTGAATGGAGACAAATGGTTTTTAATACTTGACGTGCTGTTGGAGTGTGAGCAAAGTAACATTTATGAAGGGATTCAGGGAAACCGGCAGGCCGGACTTGAGTCCTGGAGATGGGAAGTACAGTGCCTGCACTCTGAAGGAGGGGTGTTAATGTTGCAGTTTAAAAACTGTAGTGTAAAGCACCCTTCTGGCAAGACAGTGATGGAGTGAATGATGGTGAAAGTTTTTCTTTTTCGGGCCACCCTGCCTTGGTGGGAATCGGCCGGTGTGATAATAAAAAAAAAATATAGTATTCTTCATAATTTTAATATACTCACAACTTCTGCAGTAAACATTTTATTTTTTAAACCCACTAACTTGATATTTAGTCCACTTGTAATCTCACTGACTCACTTTGAATTGGGTGGATTTTTTATTAAAACACAACATTCTCAGAGTGTTTTTAATAGTAGCTATGCTCATATTTGTCATTCATCGATCTCTATTACTACAACGGAATGTAATCTGATGAAATGTATTGATAACTGAATAATTTTGGTATAGAAAACAACCGAAATCTCTATTCAAAATAGCATATTTGTTTAATTTCTGCCGGAGATCCAAGTGAAGTCAGTGAGATTACAAGTGGATTAAATATCAAGTTAGTGGGTTTAAAAAATAAAATGTACACTACAGAAGGTATGACTATATTAAAATTATGCAGAATACGATGTATAATAGACTAAACAGAAGCTGAAATTGGGTGGATTTTTTATTAAAACACCGCATTCTCAATGTGTTTTTTAATAGTAGCTATGCTCATATTTGTCATTCATCGATCTCTATTACTACAACGGAATGAAATCTGCCGAAATGTATTGATAACTGCATAATTTTAGTATAGAAAACAACCGAAATCTCTATTAAAGGAAGCACATTTGTTTAATTTCTGCCGGAGATCCAAGTGAAATAAATGAGATTACAATAGGACTAAATATCAGGTTAATGGGTTTAAAAAATAAAATGAACACTGCAGAAGGTATGACTATATTAAAATTATGCAGAATATGTATGTATAATGGGCTAAACAGAAGCTGGAATTGGGTGGATTTTTATTAAAACACCGCATTCTCAGTGTGTTTTTTAATAGTAGCTATGCTCATATTTGTCATTCAACGATCTCTGTTACTATAACGAAATGTAATCAGCCGAAATGTATTGATAACTGCATAATTTTGGTATAGAAAACAACCGAAATCTCTATTCAAATTAGCATATTTGTTTAATTTCTGCCGGAGATCCAAGTGAAGTTAGTGAGATTACAAGTGGACTAAATATCAGGTTAATGGGTTTAAAAAATAAAATGTACTCTGCAGAAGGTATGACTATATTAAAATTATACAGAATACGATGTATAATGGGCTAAACAGAAGCTGGAATTGGGTGGAATTTTTATTAAAACACTGCATTCTCAGTGTTTTTTTTAATAGTAGCTATGTTCATATTTGTCATTCATCAATCTCTATTATTACAATGTAATGTATTCTGCCGAAATGTATTAATCACTGCATAATTTTGGTATAAGAAACAACCGAAATCTCTATTAAAGGAAGCACATTTGTTTAATTTCTGCCGGAGATCCAAGTGAAGTTAGTGAGATTACAAGTGGACTAAATATCAGGTTAATGGGTTTAAAAAATAAAATGTACACTGCAGAAGGTATGACTATATTAAAATTATACAGAATACGATGTATAATGGGCTAAACAGAAGCTGGAATTGGGTGGAATTTTTATTAAAACACCGCATTCTCAGTGTTTTTTTTAATAGTAGCTATGCTCATATTTGTCATTCATCGATCTCTATTATTACAACGTAATGCATTCTGCCGAAATGTATTGATAACTGCATAATTTTCGTATGGGAAACAACCTAAATCTCTATTCAAAATAGCACATTTATTTAATTTCTGCCGGAGATCCAAGTAAAGTCAGTGAGATTACAAGTGGACTAAATATCAAGTTAGTGGGTTTAAAAAATAAAATGTACACTGCAGAAGGTATGACTATATTAAAATTATGCAGAAAACGATATATAATGGACTAAACAGAAGCTGGAATTGGGTTGATTTTTATTAAAACACCGCATTCTCAGTGTGTTTTTTAATAGTAGCTATGCTCATATTTGTCATTCATCGATCTCTATTATTACAACGTAATGCATTCTGCCGAAATGTATTGATCACTGCATAATTTTGGTATAAGAAACAACCGAAATCTCTATTCAAAATAGCATATTTGTTTAATTTCTGCTGGATATCCAAGTGAAGTTACTGAGATTACAAGTGGACTAAATATCAGGTTAGTAGGTTTAAAAAATAAAATGTACACTTGAAAAGGTATAACTATATTAAAATTATGCAGAATATGATGAATTATGGGTTAAATAGAAGCTGGAATTGGGTGGAATTTATATTAAAACACCGTATTCTCAATGTGTTTTTTAATAGTGGCTATGCTCATATTTGCAATTCATCGATCTCTATTACTATAACGAAATGTAATCAGCCGAAATGTATTGATAACTGCATAATTTTGGTATAGAAAACAACCGAAATCTCTATTCAAATTAGCATATTTGTTTAATTTCTGCCGGAGATCCAAGTGAAGTTAGTGAGATTACAAGTGGACTAAATATCGGGTTAATGGGTTTAAAAAATAAAATGTACACTGCAGAAGATATGACTATATTAAAATTATGCAGAATATGTATGTATAATGGGGGTAAACAGAAGCTGGAATTGGGTGGATTTTTATTAAAACACCGCATTCTCAGTGTTTTTTTTTTATTACAATGGAATTTATTCTGCCAAAATCTATTGATCACTGCATGATTTTCGTGATGGAAACAACCTAAATCTCTATTAAAGGAAGCACATTTGTTTAATTTCTGCCGGAGATCCAAGTGAAGTTAGTGAGATTACAAGTGGACTAAATATCAAGTTAATGGGTTTAAAAAATAAAATGTATACTGCAGAAGGTATGACTATATTAAAATTATGCAGAATACAATGTATAATGGACTAACAAGCTGGAATTGGGTAGATTTTTATTAAAACACTGCATTCTGTTTAATTTCTGCCGGAGATCCAAGTGAAGTCAGTGAGATCACAAGTGGACTAAATATCAGGTTAGTGGGTTTAAAAAATAAAATGTACACTGCAGAAGGTATGACTATATTAAAATTATGCAGAATATGATTATGGGTTAAACAGAAGCTGGAATTGGGTGGAATTTTTATTAAAACACCGCATTCTCTGTTTTTTTAATAGTAGCTATGCTCATATTTGTCATTCATCGATCTCTATTATTACAACGTAATGCATTCTGCCGAAATGTATTGATCACTGCATAATTTTCTTATTGGAAACAACCTAAATCTCTATTCAAAATAGCATATTTGTTTAATTTCTGCTGGAGATCCAAGTGAAGTCAGTGAAATTACAAGTGGACTAAATATCAGGTTAATGGGTTTAAAAAATAAAATGCACACTGCAGAAGCTGTGAGTATATTAAAATTATGCAGGTGGATTTTTAATTAAAACACCGCATTCTCAGTGTTTTTTAATAGTAGCTATTCTCATATTTGTCATGGAATTTTCAAATAAAAATTCCACCCAATTCCAAAATTCCTTTACTTACATTTTATTTTACTTTTTAATATAAATGATTTTTAGGCTTATAAATACAAAACACTAAATACATTCTAGCAAAATAACTACATCAATATATTTTTTAGCTAAATTCACCATGCTATTGCTATTTAAGCCAATATCGCAAGTTCTGCCTATTCGGCACGACATATATATTATATTATATAATATTATTATATATATATATATAATATATATTTATATATATATATATAATATATATATGTCGTGCCAAATATGTAAAACTGGTCAATAAGCAAGAACTCATTTAAAATTAAGACCTTTCTAAAATTTTCTCTTATAGGTTTATAGATATATATTTTTCGTTAATGTTGATGTAAAAATTTATAATTTTGTACCTAAAGGAACTTAGAAAACTTACCTAACCTTATTATAAAAAGAACAATTATTTTAACCTAACCCAACTAAATATATTTTAGATTTGTTTACAATAATTTAATACTAAACAAACACAGTGAAATATATTTTTTTCGTTAGGTTCAGAATGATTTTGGCGAAATTATTACATACACAAATTTTCACTTGTCCTATATGGCAAGATGAGCACTGCTATTTAAGCCAAGATCGCAAGTTCTGCCTATTCGGCGTGACATATTATATATATATATATATATTATAATATATTTATATATATATATTTATATATATATATATTATATAATATATATATATATATATATGTATGTATATGTATATTATATATTATATATATATATTAATTATATTATATATATATATATATTATATATATATATATATATATATATATATATTAGGTTATTAAATGTTAATGTACCAGACGGTACTTGAGACGTGTAAATGTGAAGTGTGCCTTCAGCACAATATACTGTACACGAGAGAAGTGATTGTTATTATTTTGATTTTGATCAATTTAATTTACTTTGATCTTATACCTCTAGACATTATTAATAAATTTATTAAATTTTAATTTTTCTAGCTAGTATCCTACCAGTTGTAATCCTGAAGCACTATTGAATCTTATTGAATACTAATGGATAATTGGACAAGGATACTGACTACTTGTTACGAAAACCCAGTAACAGGCTGGATGCTAGAAGGGCAGTCCTTTCCAGTATTCACTAGAGATCTCTATGCTTATTAGAAATAGCGCTTTTTGTAACACAGTGTAATGTTGTAATGAATGAACATTGTCAGTCACTTCCATTACTTGTCACAGTGTAATGTTGTAATGAATGAACATTGTCAGTCACTTCCATTACTTGTCACAGTGTAATGTTGTAATGAAGGAACATTGTCAGTCACTTCCATTACTTGTCACAGTGTAATGTTGTAATGAAGGAAACATTGTCAGTCACTTCCATTACTTGTCACAGTGTAATGTTGTAATGAAGGAACATTATCAGTCACTTCCATAACTTGTCACAGTGTAATGTTGTAATGAAGGAACGTTATCAGACACTTCCATTACTTGTCACAGTGTAATGTTGTAATGAATGAACATTGTCAGTCACTTCCATTACTTGTCACAGTGTAATGTTGTAATGAATGAACATTGTCAGTCACTTCCATTACTTGTCACAGTGTAATGTTGTAATGAATGAACATTGCCATTCACTTCCATTACTTGTCACAGTGTAATGTTGTAATGAATGAACATTGTCAGTCACTTCCATTACTTGTCACAGTGTAATGTTGTAATGAATGAACATTGTCAGTTACTTCCATTACTTGTCACAGTGTAATGTTGTAATGAATGAACGTTGTCAGAGTTATGCAACACAATATGTTATTCTTCACTTTTGAAGAATTAAAATAAGATCAGTGTACAAAACAAAAGTTCTTGCAGATAAATAAAATAACTTTGTATTACTTGCAAGAAAAAAACTTGGAAAAAAAGATTTTTCTTAGAAGTCAGCATAAGTTGTCAGCCATGAACGAGGAGTAACAATCAGTATTGAAGAGCAAGACATGCAGGTATGTGGAGGCCTCATATTTTTATGATAAACGATCATCTATAACTTCTTCATTATTATTACAATCAAAAAGAAGCACTAAACCTACAAGGGTCATGCAGCGCAGAAATAATTTCTACAGATGGCCTAAATAAAAGAGGAGAAAAAAATATATGGTTAGTTAGTATTGGCTGATTCATGATTATAACTTGGACGATAATATTGTCTCAGGTTCCAGGCGTTTAGTAAAAAATTTTAATATCTTGTAGTTGATTGGGGAGAGGTCGAAGATGCCTTCCTCCAGGGTGTTGACTTTCACTGCTTTGACATTCTTGAACCCCAGTCGAAGACATATCCTCTCAGTGTTAGGGTTGCTGGTATCTCCACAGGCTAATGTGAAGCCTTGCTTGGTGCTAAGATTCAGACATAGCTGAAGGAAGTGTATGAAGACGAGATAAACACAGTGACATGGGAAATAATAATACTAATATCAGGCAAAACGGAAGAATTTTGATTTTCTTGTCAAAACTGATATCCAAAAAATATATTGTTTGACTTTTATCATCTTCATTTATTATCTCCTAAGTAATACCACCACATATGGCTTAACACAAACCTTCATTATCTTTGTAGCAACACCTTGATGACCATAGTCAGGATGGACACAAATACGAGTACAGAAGACGATGCGGTCCTTCCTTGTGTCCACGACTTCGTCCATAAGTTTCCGTATTTTATGTCTTACTCTAAGAATTCCAACCTGAGAGATAAACAACTCACAATTACTGCGAGAAAAGTAAGCCCATGTAACCGGTCAGTTAACAGACGGTACAAGTTTTGTTTACAATTACATGACACATTTTTTCACATTAATGTGTTACTTAAAATAACTGTAGAATACTCAGCAGGTTTGTATAACAAGGTCTGTCAAACAATATTATATAAGATTTGCGAATTATTACTTAATTGATATATTTTTTAATCTATTGAATTCACAGGCCTTGATGGTGTTATTGTATCTTAGCTTATTTCAGTGTCAAAGCACCTTTAAAGGTAAAACCATCCAGGATGCAGCACCACAGTTAGTTAACATCCAGGAGGCAGCACCACAGTTAGTTAACATCCAGGATGAAGCACCACAGTTGGTTAACATCCAGGATTCAGCAGCACAGTTAGTTAACATCCAGGATGCAGCACCACCATTATTTAACATCCAGGATGCAGCACCACAGTTAGTTAACATCCAGGATGTAGCACCACAGTTAGTTAACATCCAGGATGTAGCACCACAGTTAGTTAACATCCAGGATGTAGCACCACAGTTAGTTAACATCCAGGATGCAACACTACAGTTAGTTAACATCCAGGATGCAGCACTATAATTAGTTAACATCCAGGATGCATCACTGCACTTAGCTAACATCCAGGATGCAACACTATAGTTAGTTAACATACAGGATGCAACACAACACAATAAAGAATAGGCACTCAAGTACTCAATAATGAATAGCAAATGGTAATCTATGGAACAAGGCGAGTAAGTTACTATAAGCTGAGGTAGTGGGAAAAGCATAAAGGGCAGTGGGTCAAGTCACAGGAGGGTGGGGGTCAGGTCAAAAGAGGTTATGGCCAGGTAAAGGGACCACTGAGATTCGACATAACACTCCAACGCACAATTCAACCTACTTTTCAGACACTTAATAGACCCATAAACCCACACATAATTCTACACATCATACACACACACACACACACACACACACACACACACACACACACACAAAACGAGTGAGTCCGTGGGTGCAGACGTTGGTACACAAGGCTCCGAGAACCTTAGTGTTTTTAAGGCATGCAGTAGCTGCTAGCTGTAATCAGTGGTAGTGACAACGTCAGTGAACAATACTATGAGTGATAACTAAAGTTATTAGTTAAAAAAAGTCGAGAGGAAGCCTGAAATCGTCAAACCGTTGTGAGTCTACTAGGCGCTGTTGCCACAGATTCAAACATACAAAGATCAAAGTGAGTGTGGAAGCGGGTGTTCAAGAATTACCACCGTTTGGATAACAAGTGAAATGTGGAGCACCATACAGTGAGAGTGAAAAAGTTAATAAGCAAAAGGAGAAAGGAAAAATAAAATATATAACAAGGGAAGGTGGCAGCAGTAGGCCTGCTGAAGCAGTGACGTCACGACAAGTTGCGTGCCATTATACATATAAAGTGAAGTGTATATAATGTGAAGTGTATACTATCATAAGTGAAAAGTGAAATCACGTGAGGAACGCGGGATGTGTGAGCATATATGGTTATAAACATCAAGGGTGAAGGATCTCCAAAATAAGGATTTAAGGACTATGTACGACGACTTCGTCATCAGCATCTGGCAACTTGTCACTGCACCATTGCAGCGCAAGTATCACTCACCTATTTGTGGTTTGCATGTTGCAGGCTCTGGCTTCTGGCCTTGCATCACTGTTAGATACTATTCACTCACTCCTGCAAGCTATTACCAGAATTAGAGTAAAAATAGCATAGATAAAGTGAATATAGTGTTGACGAGTATGAGGAGGACAGCAGTCTAGCGAGGGGTAATGTAGGGGTAAAGTAGTATTACTACCAGTAGTTATTAACAGTAAGAATACTTAGGAAGCTAGGAAGTCCTCTCTCAATGTGAGCAAGGAATAGGATAAAAACCAGCAATAATTGATACTTAAATCAAGAAAGGGCAATAAGTGGAGAAAGTAGCATTACTAGGAAAGACAGCTGGGACTAAATTTTGAGCCTACACAACAGAGAGGTATAACGGATCTTTAAACCACCCCATCTACCCCCCCTAACCATCCCTCCCTCACACACACACAAACACACACACACACACTACACGTAGTGTAGTGGGTGACAAGCACCAGGCTCCGAGAATCTTAGTGCTTTTAGGGCGTGTTTTAGCAGCTAGAAGCAACCAGTGTTAGTGACAACGTCAGTGAACAACCCTACAAGTGATAACCAAAGTATTAGCAAAAATAAATAAAGTAAAGGCGAGAGAAAGCCTGAAATTATACAACAAAATTTCAAAGTGCCAGTTCATTGAGGCCTAGTTGGCACCTGTTGCCACATTGTTACACATATACAAAGTACAAAGCGAGTGAAATAAAGAGAAAAGATCATATAGAATTAAGAGAGGTTGGGGTAAAAAACAAACTGTGATGTAGCACACAGCGTGAACAAGCTAGCCAGAAAGGGGATATATATATATATATATATATATATATATATATATATATATATATTATATATATATTTATATATATATATATATATATATATATATATTATACATATATATATATATATTATATATATATATATATATATATATTATATATTTTATATATATACATACATATACATAAATATATATAAGCAGAGGTAGTGGCAGCAGTAGGCCCGAGGGAGTAGCACCGCCATAACAGGTTGGGTGTCATCACAGATAAGAAGTGTACTTACCAAAAGTGAAGTGTAAATTATAAAAGTAGCAGTATACAGTGATAAGTGGTAATGAGGGCTCAAAAGGGCAACGAGAAAAAAATAGCTGAAGAACACCTAGAAAGGAAGATCTCACAACAGCCCCCAACATTGTTTTCAGGGACGGAAATCCTGGTTACAGAATCCTACTGGAGTTCATGACAAAGGGATAGAATAAGAACAATAGAAGAGGGGTGGTGATTGCCATTTCCTGACTGCAAAAGGCATTAGATACAGTACCACACAAGAGATTAGTGGCAAAAACTGAGGGCCCAGCAGGGATGACAAGAAGCACAACAATGGATCAGGAATATTTGATCGCGGAAGACAGCACCGAGTAATGGTACTGTGGCGAGGTGCAGAGAGGGCCCTGTGACCACGGGGTCCCACAGGGTCAGTCCCCTAGGACCAGTTGCTGTTTCTGGTATTTGTGAACGACATGACAAAAAACAAACTCTGAGGTCCTGTTTGCAGATGACGCGAAGTTGATGAGAAGGAAGCTTCGATCGTAGACCAGGCAGGGCTGCAGACCGGTACCAGCAATTGGCTCCAGAGACAATCCCCACCAAGTGCAAAGACCAAAAAGATTGGTGAAGGGCAAAGAAGACGGAGATGGAGTACAATCTAGGGGGGCCAGAACTGCCGCAAAAACCTCACTCAAGAAAAAAAGATCTTGGGTGAGTTAAAACAACAGCACATCTCCTGAAGCCGCAGCATCAACCAATAACAGCTCCAGCATATGGCGGCCTGGCACACCTCAGAACACATTCCAACATCTATAAGGAGTCGTTCAGGACACTGTCACCGTGTACCTTAGGCCCCATGATGAGTATGCAGCACCAGTTTGGAACCCACCCACCTAGCCAAGATGTAAAGAAACTAGAGAAAGTGCAAAGGTTTGCCACTCGACTAGTCCCAGCAGGTAAAGGTATGACCTACGAGGAGATGTAAGAGAAATCATCTGACGACACTGGAGGACAGGAGAGATAGGGGGGACATATAACCAACTACAAAATTACTGAGAGGAAAATTGACAAGGTGGGCAAGAGACAGGATGTTCAGAGACTGGACACAGCAACAAGGGGACACAGTTAAGCTAAGACACAGATACTCACAGGGATGTTCGGAAGTATTTCTTCAGCCACAGAGTATCAAAGTGGAATAGTTTTTGGAAGAAATACAGAGGAGGCAGATCCATACATAGCTTTAAGCAGAGGTACGATAAAGCTCATGGTTCAGGGAGAGCGACCTAGTAGCGACCAGTGAAGAGGTGGGGCCAGGAGCTTAGGACCGACACCCTACAGCCTCAACTAGGTGGAGAACAACTAGGGTGAGTACGCACACAGATACACAACACACACACACACACACACGTAGTATTGCTACCGGTAGTTATTAGCAGTATGAATACTTAGGAAGCTAGGAAGTCCTCTTTCAATGTGAACAAGGAATAGGATAATAAGCAGCAATAATTGATACTTAAATCCAGAAAGGGCAATAAGTGGAGAGAGTAGCATTACTAGGAAAGACAGCTGGGACTAAATTTGAGCCTACATGACAGAGAGGTATAACGGATCTTTCAACCACACCATCTACCCCCCCTAACCATCTCTCCCTCAAACACACACACATACACACACAAGGGCTTCTAAGTGTCACTCATCTTTCTCTCCCCCTCCCCCTTCCCCCTCTTAATCCCATCCCTCTCTCTCCCACACATGCACACACACATTCGCAAGCCACACATACTCAATCACATAACACTTGACACAAACACGTACTACCCTTCAACTAACCACCTCTCCCCCACCCTAACCACCTCTCCCCCGCACCCCTAGCCACCTACCCCTCTCCCAAACCATCTAACCCCTCCCCCAAACATCTAACCCCCTCCCCCAACTACCCTCTTCCCCGCCAATAACCATTCTCCCCCTCCCCCATAACCATCTCTACACCACTCCTCCTAACCACCTCGCCCCCCTTCCTTCCTGTGGAGCAATGGGGAACCTAGAACTAGGATAAAAACAAGGGCACGAAGACAAATCTGGGGAGGGAGGACTGGAGGCAGAGCTTCAACAAAAGGGAGAAGACTGGGGAAGGAGGCAAGAGACTTGCAAGGACGATGGAGGAAATGTTAAAGCAGAATAGCAGAAGGTGGGAAGCAATATGCCACTGCAGCAGAAAACAAGATACAGAGATTAGAAGTTGACAGAGACATCTGAAAACGAAGCATTGAGGCAA